AATTAAAACGTTAATATAGCATTGTTTTTAATAAATGATAAAATTATATTCTCTCGTGTATACCAAAGAATTGTTTTTCGAATAAATTTTCTTTACGGTTTATTATCAGCGAATGTTTTAATTTGTATTCTTCGTTTATACATCTCTATATTTAGGATCTTAGCGTTTATATATCTTTAATAAATAATTATAATATTATTTTTAACGTACTTCATACTATTATTTTTATTATACTATACATTATATAACATTTTTACGAAATATTTAAAATACTGGAAAACATTTTACGAATTATTTTGAAAAATTTAATAAGAATAATTATTATAATCTACTTCACATCTGTATCACTTTAGAATATAATTCTGCATAAAGGTGTTTTATCGCGTGAAAAAAGAAAATGTGACAATTTGAATAAACATAAGCAGTTCGTAGGATCATTGAATTTATTTATCGTATTTGTTTTCCTCTTACGAATAATAGAAATGTGTACCGTTACAATGATTACCATCGTTTATACAGGGTATTAGATAGTAATAGCTGCGAATACGACGAAACAGAAGAAAAAAAAAAGAAATAAATAAAAAGAAAAATCGTAGAATCGCGTCGCAATCGTCGTCCTTGCCAACGACGTGCAATTTATGCAGTCGACGAGAAACTTTGATTATGCAATTTTACTGAGAAAAAAAAAAACAAGAATTAAGGGAAGAAAGATTTCAGAAAAATGTTCATAGATTTAAAAATAGAAAAAAAAAAAACAAATTGACCAACAATTCTCTACATTATTCAATTTACTTTACCTACCTCGTACGTCATTATTCTACGAATAATTAAAGTTCGAACGATTATCCTCGTTTATACAACAAATAGTAATAGCTGTTAATAAGATAAAAATAATAGAATACAAATCGGAGAATCATAGTCATCGTCATCGTCATCGTCATCGTTGTCGTTGTCGTTGTGTGTCGTAGTTGCAAGGTCGACGATTGTAATTTATGCAGACGCGAACATGAATCGTGTAATTTTACATTGCCTTTTAAGAAGTGAAAAAGTAAGAAAGAGAGAGAGAAATAGTGAAATAGACAGAGAATTATCGTGTCGAGTTATGTGTGCAAGTATTATATACGTTTCTCGAGGCGTCGTGCTCTTATCGACCCGGCCTTTTTCTCGAGTTCTCTTTCTTCCTCTTACACAACATGACTACTACTCGACTCTTATCGTTCGTCCAGCTACCAACACCAGCTACCAACACCAGCTGACGACGACCACCACCACCTACCTACTGATAACAATCATACTTCCTTCGGATATTCACAGGATATCGTTCTTGTTTCCTACTAACGAATTCAAACACCTAACTCGAGATTCTGTCGATCTTTTTTTACGATCTTTACTTTTACTTTTACTTTTTTTTTTTTTTTTTTTATATAAAAACTCACGTGAATGATAACATTTTATATATATAATATTATTTTTACGTTCTCATTTCAAGTAAAAAATAATTAATTTTTTTTCTTCAACCCTTAATATATATATTTAGGGATCTTATATATATATATATATGTATATATATATGTATATGTATAAATTTGTGTTGATAGATGATTTTTATTTTTATTTGGTATGGCAAATTTAAGGTGAAAGTTTGATAAAAAAAGAAATGAGAAAATAGTTTCTTTTTAAAAAGGACGCTGTTCATTAGCGACAACTAATTCGACCTCGTTGATATAACTTTTTTTATGAACGTACAAACTCGTGTGAATAATATTACATTTTATATTTTTCGTTTATTATTATTACAAGATTATTAAAATAATGTTTGTTCAATCTATGATTTTTATTTCAATTTTGTGTGTATGTGTGTGTGTTTAAAATAAATTTCAGGGAAAGTTTGATAAAAAATGAAAAACAATTAAAAAATAATTAAATCAATAATTTCTTTCTCAAAACGAGAGACACAGTACATTGGCTTATTTTATATTAATATTATACATACACGTGTATGTATTTTATAATACGACAACGGGCATCGTCGATTAAAGATGATTTAACTCGCGTTTCTCGTTTGATACGCGCGTGGATGGAATACAACGGGTGAATTCTAACCCGTTGCTGTCGTCGTCGTGTCCTCGACACGGAGAATCGTCCGACTACAGTGCGTCAGCAGGATGAATAATAAAATTGTCGAGGAATATCTCTACAAATAATAGTTTTCACATTTTTTTTTTCTTTTGACGTTACAGTTTCGTAATACCTATAAAATAACACAAAAAAGAAAGAAAAGAAAATTCGAATCTGTCCTCTTAAATTTTGCAATTGTTATTTATAATGTTTTGTATAAACAATCTCTCTCGTGGATAATATAATTAATAAAATATTTATTGTTAATGTGTTGAAATTATTGTCAGATTTGTATTCATTACAACTCGCGACGTATGTTGTTGCGTGTTATGTTGAAAGAAATATCGTCTTAGATTTTGTTATTTTTATTTTAATTACATATTTACATTCATGTATGGAATTTTGTAAATAATAAAATATGAAAATGAAAAATTTTTTTTTTTTTTCTTCGAAATGTATTCAAATATATTTCATTAGCGGATTTGTATTTGCCACTTGGTATATACGTGGACATAAATATTGAAGCCTTATCGCTGACAATAAGTTATCTCATGTAATATATGTGTTAAAAATAGAAATGCGAAATAGCACGATTAGAAATAGAAAAGATTATATGTCGTAACAGATAGTCCATTCCATTATAGATTTCTTATTACACGGATAAAATGTAATAGAGAAAAATAAGGATGAATGATTAACACGTAATTCTAATGCAATTGTTTGCGAAACTTGTTATTGGATAAATGTGAAATTTTTTCGCTATCATGTGATTCATACTCGAAACAGTAAATTTTATGATTGATCATAAAAATCACATGAAAGTTTTTAATTTAATATGAAATTAATCTTTTGAGTTCATTCTGTGGACTCGAGGACTCCTATCCTCGGCTATTTTTATTTGAATTTATTAATATTATAACATATATCCGTTTATGTAAATATAATGTAAATGTTACTTTTCCTTTTTTCTAAAAGATTGAAGTGTTAGATAATTTTGTTTAGCAACGGAATAAAGTTTGCCGATCTTAAAATATCGCAAATTTGCGATTAAAAAGTTTTGAAGAGAAGTTTGAAAAATCGAATGTTTGTTTATTAAGACGTACGACTAATCGTGTATATATGTATGTAAGTAAATACATATAGGTAGTATATAAGTGTCACAAGTAATGCTCGAGTCCTTACGTAATGCTCGGCACAGTTAGAAATTATTCTTTATTTCTCGGTACTCGCAGGATACGCTTTTGAAATCGTTTCGACGTACAAAGAACTTGAATAGATTCTTTCTTATATTTCTTTTTTTCTTTTTTTTTTTTTTATTATTTATATTTATTTATTGCCAATTCATGATTTTCCATTTTTTCTTTTTTTATTCACAGTTACATTAAGTTGGTGTGAAATTAATCGAGGTTGTAATATTAAACAATCACAATGAATTTAATAATCATTTTACAATAGTATATTACGTAATCCTAATTAAATAAATGATATGTCAAATTTATAATAATATTTTTACTTGTTTCATATCAGTATTTCATTAAACAAATAATTTTTAAATGATTTTATTTAATTAAAATATTGATTAAAAATATTAAAAAAAAAAAAATAATATCTCAATATAAAGTAATAAGCAAATAATACAAAAATTGCAATAATAATATTTGGCATTAAGTTAATTAATTTGAAATATTGACGAAAAAATATTGAAAAATATTACTTTAATTTAAATAAAAATCAAATAATACAAATTTCAATAATTGGCTACATTGGTATTGATTCATATTTATGATGATTATTAAGCAAAAAAGTAAATACAATTATTTTCTATCCAAGTTTTAAACGAATCGAGCATTATAGGATATATCGAACGGAATCACGTTGCTTGTTAGAGGGCAGATAAGAGAGAGAGAGAGAAAGAGAAAGAGAGTCGATCGATGCGCAAGAAATTGGCGTATAAATTCTGTTAGAATGTTTCTGTATTATTATGTAACTGAACGCAGTAGTGAAACCATGATTGAGAGTGCACCAATGTGATTTATGTTGGTCTCTTAGTATGTGTGTACGCAAAAGTAGGTTCTTGTTTGAAAGAAATAGAGAAATATATATTTAAAGAGAGAAAAAGAGAGAGAGAGAAGAGAGAATGAACACGTACGAGTGAAAAAGCCAAGGCTATGACACAACATGTACCTTGACGGAAACATTATTGAAAGAACCGATGCTGTTCGTCGATGGATCTTCATACGATGTCGATCCCCATCGATCCAAGATCTTAAAATCATTTTCTAACGCGAGAAATTTCACGAAAACAAATCTCCTGATTTTAATAGATTTTACTTTTGATAAAAGTTCTAATATGTCATCCATCGTTGCAATTTTGTTCTAAAGGTATTCTTTTTTTCTTTTTCTGTCGTAATTTATCACATTTTACGTTAATTTAATTTATAGTTAATATAATATGTTTCCGCACGCGAGGTATAGTTAATATTTATTTATCTTTCCTTTTAAAAATATTATTAACAAATTTTTTAATTTATATTTGTTGTAGCAACAACAAAATATTTACAACGTTGAATGTAATCTTCAGAAATTGAGCCCGCGTGGTTTTTTAAAATTGTTGAACTTGATCCTTGATCATGCTAACTTTTCTATACTACTTGTTGTATCAATAATATTACCAGTCGTATTTCTAAATATATTTATCTTTTTACAAAATTTATATTAAATTTTTATTTTGTAATAAATTTAAACAAATTAAAAAATTGTCCAATTCGATCGCAATTTTTTTTTCTGTTGTTCGACAGTATCTTTGAAAATTTTCAATTCGATTTCTAAAAAATTCGATTTACAATTTATAAAAATTAATTATTGAATGAATATGTTATCAGGCCTAGCCCGGGTGGTGTGGGCGACAACGGAGTCCAAGGTGTACGAGGTAAGGGTCTTCCCCACGTGATCTATTGTCGTCTCTGGCGTTGGCCAGATTTACAATCACACCACGAGCTAAGGGCGATCGAGCATTGTGAATACGCTTTCACGCAAAAGAGGGACGAGGTTTGCGTCAATCCTTATCATTATCAACGAATACAAACTCCAGGTTGGTTATATACGATTACATTATTCAAACATTATTTTTGATAGCTTTGATATCAAATATTTCATTTTATTTCTCATTTATTTTCTATTAAAATGTTTCAACACACATCGAATATCCAAAAGGTTTAATTTAATTTTTCAGATTTAATCATTTATAATTTTCTTAAAAGAGTAGAAAAATTAACTAATAATGAGCAGATGATAATAATTTTTTCTCGTTGTTGTTTTTTTTTTATCTTCAAACAATTATTGAAGATATTAAATGAACGTGTTTGAACACACATATTGTTAATATTTAATTTATTAATTTCTATTTATTATATATATTTTTTTTTTAAATCAAACTTCAATCAAACATTCAACGTATTTAATGAACGTTCAAAATGTATTAGGAACATTTAAATTTATAATTATCATTAATTATATTGTATATATTTGTTTTACAATCAAGCATCATTAATAGAATTTCTCTCTAGTTCTCTATATATAACATGATTTATTTATAAATTAAATTTATTGAGTATGATAATTATTGAATTGTGTTAATATCGCGCTAATTTAATAAATTCAACAAACATATAAATATCATATACGTGTTAGTAATTTGAGAGGAAGAGAAATCATTGAAAAGTCCTCGACGTGCATCGAATATTTCAAATAATCCAAGAGCGATATTCGTAATCCTATTTGCCTCTAATCGATAGTTCACACGTATTATTATATCAATTATGGATTTGTAATGACGAGAACGCCAATTTTGTGACATCGAAATGAAAATAAGATGTAATCAATTATACGATATAATTTATTAATTCCAAATAAAATAGAAAAAACAAATAATACTCGAGATGGTACACAGAAAATAGGATAAAAAAATAGGAAAAAACTCGCTCTCATAAATTATTTTAATAAAAAAAAAAAAAAAAAATAATTACGGTGTCAAATGTTGACAAAAATATTGACCCAAATAATCAGCGACCCCTAAAAAAA